TCAATCGATACAAAGCAGTGAATCAACCCTCGACTAAAGCAATCGATCCACTACTATCAATCTATGGTGCTCTATTGACCTAATCAGGTATTCCCTCTCATAGAATCAAAGCAGAATCAATAATCTCGACTAAAGCAGAATTGAATCATGAAAACATGCATAGATTGAATATGAACTCAAGATTATCCAGTCAGAGTACTCATACAATCATCCAATCAAACAAACATAGCTAGGGTTCCTCAAAACCTAAGTGAAGGGAAGTTACTCCATAGAGAAGAGAGAGACTGCAGTAAGAATCTTCAGATGATCAGTCTTCAAGTCCGGGCTTGTTCCTCGAGCTTCCAAGGCGAAGAAATCCTCCTTCTCTACTCCAAGAATGCCCTCAAATCGCCCTCTCTCTCTAGGGTTCGTCCCTTGGGTGTTTGGGATCCAAAACCCAGCTCTCTCTCTCCTTTGGTTCGGAATTTGGCTTAAAACCAGGAAATCCCGACTCGCACGGCCAGGGTGCACGGCCGTGCACATCACCTATGCTTCACTTTATGTGCTAGGACCTGAAATGGGACAAAGGAACACAACCTAGCATAAAATAGGCCACAACACACGAATATGCCCCTCAAACGGATAAGAACTAGGGGCGCAAACATGTGCAATTACATCGTTATCACTTCACCAACAAGGAGAGGTAACTCACCTTTTGTTTGCAGATGACACCTTCATATTCTCTGATGTTTCACACGATCAAGTTATAAACATCCTCTCCACGCTTGTCTATTTCCAAGCAGTGACTGGCTTGAAAATCAATCTTGTTAAATTAGTCATGTATACTGTGGGTGACGTCCAGAACGGGCTTCTATGCTACAATATTTGGATGTAAGTGGAGCACCAAATATCTTGGATTCCCCATTTGAGCTAAATCGAATGTCAGCTCTATTTGGGATCCGATTGTTAGAAATTTCCATAAAAGGCTTGATGGGTGGAAGAGTAATTGTTTATCTACAGGTGTAAGACTCACTCTTAATAAAGCAATTCTCAATAGCCTGCCGGTTTACTACTTCTCCCTTCTCAAAGCCCCTAAGAAAATTATTGAAGATCTTGAGGAAATTCAAAGAAACTTTTTATGGAATGGGACTTCTGACAATCGGAGACCTCCGCTTGTGAAGTGGAACATATGTAAAGTTGCCAAGTCAAAAGGAGGTCTGGGTTTGCGAGATCTGGCCTCCTTCCATTCTGCCCTTCCGGCCAAGTGGCTATGGAAGTTTGCTACCGAGAAGAATAGCTGGTGGAGAGGGTTGATCAACATCAAATATCCGAACACTCTATCCTTTTGGAAGTCATCAAATATCAATTATGGTTACTCGAGTTCTGTTTGGGCAAACATCTCCAAGGAATGCCCCCTGTTCTGGAAATTCGCTCAAATTGATCTGGGAGGTGGCAGTCATGTTTCTTTCTGGTTTGATAAGTGGATGTCGAATTCAATTCTTGTAGTTGACTACCCGAGAGTTGTTGCTGCTACTTCCAATCCTGTTGCTCAGGTCGTTGACATGGTCTCCTTCATTGATAATGAGGTAACTTGGCAGCTTAACTTGAATGTTAGTTTAAGAGGCGGAGCAAAGAGTGAAAAAGTGAGGTTGTTAAAATTTTTGCACAATGAAAATTTTATTTTCTCTAACAGTCCTTGCATGATTACTTGGACTCCGAATCCATAAGGTGGCTTTTCCTTTGGCTCAATTTACAAACATTTTATGCGAGAAAAATTCCCTGGAAACCAGTACTTTATGGCTTCGACAATTTGGAAGTCTATCATTCCAAGTAAAATATGTTTCTTTCTTTGGACACTCTAGCACAAGAAGGTTTATACATTGGATGTCCTGAAAAGAAGAGGAATTGCTCTACCAAATCGCTGCGCCCTGTGCTGCCACGAGGAAGAAAGTGCAGATCACCTTTTTGTTAAGTGTGACTTCATTCAAGGAGTTTGGAACACTATTAGAAGAGGGATGAGTTTCATTGGAAATCTTGATGGTAAACTCTCTTCAATCATTATCGACAGATCCACAGTGACACCCAACAATATTGAAGAGTGGTTCGCCTATTGTATTCTTCATGCTACGTTTTGGCTTGTCTGGTTACATCAAAATCAATGCATTTTCAAAGATTCTCAATCTACAGTCAATGTCATCGATCGACAAACAACCAAGATGGTAGTATCCTGGCTGTCTGCTCATAGCAAAATCGACAAGGATCGGGCTTCAATTTGGCTTGTTGATTGTTTATCTAGAATGTAATTTGTTGAACCTTGGGGTTTATGCAGGGCTGGCTATTTGGTCCAGGTTTTTTGGTTTTACCCGAAACCGGGCCGTATAACCCGGACCGGGACCAGATAGTAAACAATCCAATCCAATCTTTGGGCTTAGATTTGAGGTAAAAAATCGTTCGGGATCGGATTGAAAACAAGATAAAGAACGGATAAGAGAGCTCAACACCCAAAACTTAAGGGTAATTTGCATAAACGGTCGCAAACCTTTGCACTTAGTACAAAACTTAACCAACTCCTCACCCTTTCAGTCCTTATATTTTCAAAGAGACAGGAATGGACCAGATCAAATTTGGGCCAATTTAGCCGGACTTGACCGTATAGCCACCCCTAGGTTTATGTGTTCTGTTTGGTTCCAGCGGGGGCGGTCTCGTCCGTCTGGCTTAGTTTTTCTTTTGATCGCTTTCTTCTTGCGCAGTTGCGCTCTGTTTCTTTTGCTTCTGAACTCCCTTTGCTTGTATTGTTGGTTCAGTTCTTCTGAACCGTTGTACCTTTTTCCTTCCATTTTTTAATTCAATCACCATTATAAAAAAAAAATCTACGGATACCAATCTGATAATCAGAAAGATTATTAATCTTGATTCGTGAGATTTTTTTCTCTACTTTATCCCTTCCTTTTATTTATTTATCTCATTAAATATACATATCAATAAATTATCAATATTTTTTGAAACACGATAATTTTTTTTATTAAGAATAAAATTTAATTTTATATAAAACTAAACTTTTTATTTATATTAAATGTCAACATGTAATTTTTTTATTTCAACAATATGAAGAGATAGAAACTTCGGACTATTTATAATATATAGATTTATACTCCTATATTCCAAACAACCTATAAATTGAATATGACGGTGGACTGAGTGAATGACATGTTAGGTATTTTAACAATGAAAAGTTATTAACCAATTCGCTCACAAGTTGGTAGTTGAAGTGCTTCACTAGGCATACTGTCGAGCCAGCTTATAATTCAAAAGAAGCCAACTCATGAGTTAAATTCAACAAGACACCTAATCGATCTAATCGATCTGACTCACGAGCCTTACAAGCCGAATAAATTAGCTCAAAATCGATTCATTTGTAACGAGTTGAGTGTCGAACGAGTTTTTTCCGAATCGATTGTGGAACCACTCAGTAAGACTGATTTGCAGCCTATAAGTACATTTGGAAAACTTAAAAATTTTACTTTTAATTACTGTATCGACCCATTACCACCCGAACCTCATTCTTATGTGCAATGAGACTTATCACTTCTATCTTTTGATCATCAACGTACAATAGTAGTTAGTGGAAGTATCGATCCTTGTTGCAGCACTGCAATTTGTGGCAGTCCAATCCCATCCCAACGACAAACGTCTATCTTCTCCCACACCTTTATCCTTGTACCTTGTTAAGGATTTGACAAAACCACCATCTTCTTGGCTTTCAAACGTGCCACGGATGAAGAAGATATCATAATGCTTCTAATGTAATTAATGTTTCTCATTGCTAACAATTAAAAAAATTATGTTTCTCCACTATCAGACAACATAGATGTATGGAAATTGAGTTTGCAAAATATGTTTCTTCACTTCTAATGTAATTTTTTAAAATCATTCTTAAAATGAAGGGATACGGTCCGATTAATATTAGCAGGGGACTGATGCATTATAGTGTATGTTAGGCCGTATGAACGATTTTGGGTTTCGTAATTAGGGATTTTTTTATTAATTAACTGTTGTGATATTTTCTTATTTTGGGATATTTATTTCATGCTTAGCATTGGTATTATTAATTGTATTTTGACTATGGAAGTTATTCATTATTTATTGTTTTGGGATTCAGTTACCTTGTTTGAGAAAAGTAAGATTAGTCTTATAAATATGTACCTTTGTTCTACGTTTTTATTCGTGAATAAGAAGTCAAGTTTTTAGTAGTAATTTTATCTCTTCTACTTTTTTTGTGTAGTAATCGATCTTGAGTTTATACGACGTTCAACACCAGAAATCGATCACGTGTCAATTGGTATCAGAGACTGGTCGCGCTCAACCAAATCTAGGAAATGATGCCGCCTCGCAAGAATCTCACGCCGTCCGCGGCTCAAGAAACCATTGGCGATGATGAGCTAGGGAAACAAATTCACACCCTCCTAACCCATCAACGAGAGACAACAACGCTATTCGAAGATCAGGATGTCAAGTACCAGGAACATGACACCGCGTAGGCCCACTGATGTGGGAAATTGTAGATCGAAATAATAAATCCTAGGGGATGCCTAAGATCATATTCTACGAGGTCTTCTAATGCATAACTACTCACATCAACCACCTATGACACTAAAATCAAAGACGCTTCTAGGGTTTTCAATTATGTAACAAAGAAAAGTAAATCAAGAAGAATAGAGTTGTTTAGGGGTCGTTTGGATGCAGAAGTGTAGTGAGGGATTTTAAAACAATCCCTCATTAGGCAGGATTTTAAAACAATATTGCCTTTGGAAAAATGAGAGATTGTGAACATAAGAGATTTTTAAATTCCTCAAATGCGGGTTTTTAAAATAGCTGATGGGGTCAGCTATTTCAAAATCCAACACTCTTGTATTTATTTCTTCCATTTATGTCTCTTATAATTTTGATAAATCCCATCCTTACCCTTCATCCTCTTTTCTTTTGTCGTCATTCCCTCTCTTTATCCTATTCTCCCGTTTCCCCGACAATGATTGACGATGACAACACCAACGACCCCAACTCGGAATTTCTTCCCTCCTTCCCCTTTCCTGACTTTGCGATCTACTCGGCGGCATATTCTGGTGCTATGTGCTCGGTATCGGAGGGAAAAGAGGCAAAAGGTTGTAAATCTGGTTCAGACATTGCCATTAATCATGAGATCTGTTGATTCTTCTCCTTTACTCCTCAGGCCAACATGGTTGTAGATTTTGGTATCAAACAACGACATATGAGCTCCAGATCACCGCGAATTGAAGAAGTAGGGAGGGATTACAGATGTGGATGGACCACTTGGGAGAACGACGGCAGGCTGGTCAATGCTTCTTCCTTATCCCTCTGTACACCATCGACAATAATGATGGAGAGGAGTTGTCGATCTCTACGTTCTCGGAGCTCGTTGACCCAGCGCAACTCAGGCGGTTGCTAGCCTCAGCTCAGGGGCGAGCATCGCGGTTCGAAGTCGTTTACATCTATACTAATCTTGAGAAGATCCAGCAGATGTCGAGCTCTTGGTGGAGGAGATCCGACAGAGAAGATGAGAGGAAGAAGAAGGAACGAAGAAAGAGGGGTGACGGGGTAATTGTGGTAAATTTGAGTTGTTTAAGCTAATAAGAGAACTTTCTCGATTCCGCGCATCTTTTTATTCAAAAGGATTTTCGAGTTCAATTGCGAGGTTGTTTTAGCTATTAGCAGCATAAAATCCTTCTCATGTACTGACGCTTGGCTAATGAGATAAGGTAGTTAGCTTACTTGCTTCTTAGAGAACAGGTAGTTTACTACCGCTACAATACTATATTCCAACATCTTACTGCCAAAGAAAGAAAGAGAATAAGTATCTTGAACAAAAGGAAGAACTCTGGGGAAGGCAGGAACTTCCGGATTTACTGATTTAGGAGTTTTTCCCGCACCGATCTGACTTATTTAGGAAGCTAGAACGGAGAGGAATGAAGTCACTCGACCGATAGGGAGAGGAGATTTAGTCGGTTGGACTTGGAATTGGGCCAGTTTAATTAACTCCCTAAGGATGATGAGTTGGCGAATGTTGCCATGTTGTGTTGGGCGGCCAGGTACGGACGTAATAAGAAGGTGTTTATAATGGTGATTGAATTAAAAAATGGAAGGAAAAAGGTACAACGGTTCCTTGCATTCTCCTGAATTGTAGCTAGGGGTAAATTCGTAAGTTCAACTTAGAACTCTATTGTTCACTAATGCATGCAATTTCAGTTTCCAAACATATTTTACTCAAATACTTTTATATAACAATGAATGAATCCCTAAATTTCACTTAGTTTTCAATGAAAGATGAGATGCGGTTAATTGATTTATGAGCTCAAATATACCTCCATACCACTAAAGCTACAATCATTGTGATCTTTAGTTGTTCACTCACCTCTGCCAATGTTTACAGGCTCATATTTTGCTATGAAATTTAGATAAAGAAATTTTAAATCTCACACATTTAAAAGTAGGAGATGGAAACTATGTAAATAAGTGATTGCATATTTACTATTTTGAAACCCAAAACTAAAGCAATTTAAATCATCTCATTTTGCAGTAAATTAAAAAGTCTTATAGGAAAGTGATACCTTAGCGTTGAATGTGGTGGTGAATGAACATCTAATGCCAAACGTGGCCTAAAAAATTCCCTCCACTATGAACTGCAAAAAAAATTCTTCCCAAACCCAATTTATTACCAGGCAAATCATATTTGGTAATATCACTTGAAGGTCTTACCAATAAACGACTATTTAGTTTGAGTCTAAATTAGACCTATTACATTGGCTACAAAAAAGAAAATCAACTCTAATTAGACCTATTACGACTATTTAGTTTGAGTCTAAATTAGACCTATTACATTACCAGTCAAATAATTTTTGCAATTTTTTTTGTATAACAAACATAAATGTGGACACCGATAATTAAGGTGTGAATTGGTTTAATGTGAATAGCTAGATGGTCGATATTTCTTTATAGGTATAATTATATGGACTCAAATAGATTCAAATTATGTATTCGACCCAAATAAATGTTTTTCTGCTCTGGCTCTCTCCCCATTCCATAATTAGTAAATTAAAATAATCTGGCCAACGAGCCGGGTCAAAGCTAGTTTACATAAAAAGTTCATTTTAACTCCCAAATGAACTAAAACACCATTGCTTCAATAAATAAATAAAACCACAAATTTAAGGGGACTTTGACATATCGGCAAATGAAATGGCGAATTCAATGTATTAGAAGTAGCCGAAATAACGTATTTACTGATTGCCTATTGTATATTCTATCCCCATATCATGTGGAATCTATTGAAAATCACAAGAAATGAGAAAGAGGAAGAAAATAAATGTTGGAAAAGGCAAATAATTGGAAGGGAACAGGAAAAAAGAAAATGTCGGTGTTGACGTCGGCCATGGAACCAAGCTTTGACCCTCTAGATCAGTAGGTATATATTTTTTGTCGACTACTCTGTTGACCTTTATTTCCTCCAAACTTGGTATACGTCGCTTTCAAAGTTTTCTTAACTAACTCTGTGTTGCTTGTTTAATCTGTACAACAGGCTTCTAATTACCCCAAGTACAAGCTAGGAAGATGATCAATCGTAAGTTGAAGCTATCGTCAGGTAACAACAAGCTACCAATGTGTGTATTCTTGTTGTTATAGTGCAATTGGTGTCTCTTGTTCGTGGATTAGTTAATTTATATCGTGTTAGTAAATTACGTAAATTTGTTTGTATTTTATTATTTTGCATCGTCGATTTCTCAATTCGTTACAATATGGTGATAGGAGATAGAGACAAGAGATGAGAGTGAGCCACAAATATTTGGATTGGGGAGAGATCCTGTTAGAAAATGAGTGATTCTGAGTCAAGAAATTAGGAAAGATAGGAATTGGGAATTAGACATAGGGAAAACATATTAGGAATTTGAGAAGAAATTGGAGAAGAAATTGGGGAAGAAGGGCCAGCAGAGAGAAGAAGAAATAGATTAGGAATTGCATTTTCAATATTCTTCTTTCATAATCTCAAATGACAACGTTGAATAGTTTAGATAGGAGTTATGAAAGAATAACAAAAATACCCCACACAAACACAACCACTCAGCCTAACCCGACCGTCTACAAAGACTGAATTTCTATCATTCCATTATCTCTAATATTACCTTGCCCTCAAGGTCCAAGATTGGGTAACTCTGTTGAGTGACCATTGCATCCTCCATAAGACTCTCCTCCAAGTCTCCATCGACGGTAACTAGAGGTGCAGCTGCCTCACAGCCTGCTTGATAGCCCCTTTTCGGAATAAAAATATTTTTTATAAGAAAACTGTACTAGCAAAATTTGGGTAATGTTTTGTAATATTATCGGAATAAAACTGTAATATACCGGATAACAAGTCTGAATATGTTAAATATGCATATGTACACATAACAAAGTGAACCTCAAAGCGTAATAAGTAAATCATTGGTAACCATGACCAAGAGTTAAAGAAGCATCCAATGCAGTTTTAAACTGTGGAGAATTAGTTGCATCTAAAGTAACAAAAACATCATAAAACCATCTAGCTCATACTCGATCTACATACCATACAACTTCTTTAGATGAGAAGACACTCTTTTTTACTAGTTGGCTACCCAAAGTTGAGTGTGGAGCAAACAAAGTACCAACTGAACCCACAAACATATTTGTGGAAGTAGCAACCATTTTTGAACAACTACCATCATCTTGTGAACTAGAACTACGATCAAGGTTTCTTCTCATTAGCTCCATATTCATTCACATGTCATCATAAAACACCTTTTGACATAGAGTATTATTCCCACTAACACTAATTCGAGCTAGATGTTTTTCATTCAAATGAGTACTTCACCCCTAAATACTTTGCCACAATGTATTCAAGTGCATACCTCAACTTTTCTCTCCAAACGAAGGGTACAACCATACAAGTGCATATACCTCAACTTTTCCCTGAAATTTCATCCACGGAATAGGTTGAAAATTTCTTAATCTCCGCTTCTTCAAAACCCTTTAGGCACGGATTGATGAGGGTTTGGTTTGTCGGAAAACCAAATTTCAGATTATTTTTATCCCTTTTCATCAAACAAAACGACATCGTTTTGTTCAGTTTATTTTTTTTTTATTACAATTAATCTACCGGCGATCAGAACGAAACGTACATGTATTTTGCGGGATGTCAGTCTGACTACTTATACCGGGCGATACGATGTTGTCCATGTTTTCTTGATATCGTGCCGCAATTGATCCGATTGTAGATTTTTTCGATTTAATCAGCATGTACGGTACGATAACTTAATCCATGATTTGTAGCAATTATTTGGTGAATTGAGATTTTTGCCTCGTACTATCATCGATCAATCGTGCACGATAGATATAATTAATACCGCAACGGTAATATAAGAAAATCAGATGATTTTTCTTACTTATCCACTTTGGATTTGGTTTTTCTAACACCCCAATTTGAATGGGACTTAGATGAATGGTCTTAAAATAATAAGAATTAGTTTTCGTCCCCGGGTCTCACACACTTATTAAGGCTAGTCTCTAGTGGATGAGATAACCAAAGTTTGACAAAGTACATATTTTCTCCAAGTCAAGTCCAAAGTGTGCAACCCTATCTCACAATATAGCATCACTTGCTGCGTCACTAACCAATTCTGAATTGCACACTCCAAATTCAACATTAATTGGTGTTAGTTTCCACGAGGTACGTTTACTTTGTACAACAATTGGGATGTAAAGGGGAAGTCAACAACAAACGTTTGGCAAACCTTTTCAAAGTCCCATAAAAGAATATGCATCCATCAGAAAATGAGCTTCCTTTCTCTTGGCTTCTGTGTTAATGAGAGTTGACAACTGTACACGGATTGTGTTGACCTGCCTTGCCCGTTTCTCAATTTAAGAGCCTCATAAAAAGCCATGCAAACCTTCAAAGGCAGATAGATACAGACAATTGTCAAATGAACGTGTATATACAGCATTCAATCGGCGTTGGAAAGTCAACTTGAGACTTCTATTCCTCAGAGTCAGAAGTCGATGAATATTGCTAACAAGTTTTTTTCTCGTTTTTATCTATCAGTTACATGTAGATTAGATCGAGTTCCAGCTTAAGGGTCGTTTAGGAAGATACAAATATTTGGTCAACATACATAAATGAAGGGTACCTAGTGGTAGTGTAGGGTTAGTGACATTCGATAGTTCGGTATTGAAAACGATCAACAATTATCTAAAGAATTGTAACAGATCCACACAAACACATATCAAGGATGTCACTAAATTGGATCTCCTGATAAATGCCCCTACTGGCTACTAGATGGAAAATTAGAAAAAAGATGGATCTGTTATGACTTTTTTTTTTGAATTAATTAAGCACTCGTTGCAGAAATGAAAAACCACCCACTAGCAGAGGCTGAAACAACCTCCCAAAGAGCTCGGGTCACTTTCCTATAGGTATGCTTCGACGCATTCTTCGTGTGAGCCGCTAACGGATCCACGAGATGAGGCTCTATCCAAATTACGAATTTCATTATCTGTTTATCACTTTCCTAATGCGACCTCTACATTGTCAAGAACCAGTTGATCCCAATAACTCGAGTTGTTGGGAGAGGTTCAATCGTGGATCATATACCACAACACTAACACGCCCCCTCAAACGAAAGCCACTCACAAGGGCTGGAAGTTTGCATATGTCTGAAGACAAGAATACCATGTGCTTAACAAATGTGGGTCATTGGGAATCAAACACAAGACCTCTCGGTCATAGAAGGCTCTGATACCATGTCAAGAACCAGTTGATCTCAATAACTTGAGTTGTTGGGAAAGGTTCATTCGTGAATCATA